AATTAATGCGTTCGCGGTTGTAAGCGGAGTCCCCAAGAAACTGATTTATAAGTTGGGAACTGACAACCGTGCGAGAGGCTCCAGTGTCTATGGTTAGTTTACACGGCTTTCCGTTGACCTCGCCCTTGATGATCAGGCTGTTTCCATCTCGGGTTCGTGAGATCGAATTCCTTGGGGCTCTTTTAACATCAGCCAGCACCCGCCAGTTTCCCTGCTGCTGCTGGGCGGTGCTGTCAGCCACACTACCCTCTCGATATCGATCACCTTCCCTTTCTACAGTTCGTTTAGGGCAGCTGGATCGAAGATGGCCCCTTTCCCCACAGCCGTAGCACCTAGGGCTGTAGCCCTTATTGCGGTCCTGAACTGTAGCTGCTGCAACCTCCCTGACGCAGTGGGAACGATGATCCTGCCGCACGGCTTCCACCTCCAGTGCATGGGCCAAGGCGTCCTTAAGCGTCTCGTGGTGCCCGAGCCTCACAGCAGCTCTGACTTCAAGGTCGCGGATATCGTCGATGAATGTCTGCACCAGGTTCCCTACAATGAGCGCAGGTTTAGACTGGTACGCTTTTCGAACCAGCTTCTCCACCTCAAGGGCCCACTGCTGCAGGTTTTCGTTACTGCTTTGCACGCGATCTTTGAGCTGCGCACGAAAGACGTGTTCCAGGTGAGCGTCGCCATATCTCGCCTCCAATGCCTCAAGGAGCTGCTCGTAAGTCACTTCCTTACCGAGAGCTTCCAGAACAGTTAATGCCTGGTCGCGCAAGCCTAGGGTGAGAGCAGTCATGGCCTGACTTTTATTCCAGCCGTTCGCTTTCATGACAGCCTCGAACTGGATTTTATAGGCCGACCAGGAAGAAGTCCCGTCGAACGGTGGCACTTTGAATCCACGTAGCGAAGGTGTTGTAGCTACCACGGGAGCTGTAACTCCATCCCCAATTTTCAGCGTTTTCTTCACGTCAGCCATCACATTGTCAACCTGATTGTACACTTGGTCGATTCGGGTTTCAGCTTCCGACAGGCGGTTGTCATATTGAGCAACCTTATCCTTCACCTCACTTATTTCTTTCCCGAAGGTAGCGTGAAGTTCCTTCATGAGAAGTATCTGCTCTTCCTTATCGCGTTTGAGCTGCTCTTCAAACCGACGGCCCTGTTCCTCCTGTTGGCGGGCTTGTTCCTCCTGTCCGCGCTGCAGCTGCTCTTCCAACCGACAAGCCTGTTCCTCCTGTCGGCGGGCCTGTTCCTCCTATCGGCGGGCCTGTTCCTCCTGTCGGCGAGCTTGTTCCTGCAGCATCATCATCAGAGTACCTAAGTCAGGTGCTGCAGATGAAGGAGCTGCTGACGGGCCGGCCTCCGTGGTTGGCAACTGGCCTGCCGACGTCTGTGACGTTGCACCACCAAATCGTTTCTGGTCCGTCTCCTGTTGGCGTTGACTTCGGGTACGGATACCCTCGGTGTCGTCTTTAGGTAAAATCGGCATATTTGATCCCACTTCTGACACCAATTGTTACGAGCTTGGGGTTCGAGACAATTAAAACTGCCGATTGAATTACCAAAATTGACACTTTAATTACACAACACTAATTACAATCTAAAATCACACTAATAATAAAACACAGTTCGCCGTTATTTCGCTTCGAAGTATTCTCTTGTATCGCCAATTCAATACTGCCCCGGTCGTGGTCTATACCGGCCTTATATAGGGCCTCAGATAGTTTCCAGAACCTTCTACTGTGGCGACATCTAGAATGTTCGAGTACATATCGGTCCCGAAATTTCTGGAAGGATCTCGACTCTCCTAGTTCTGCTACTCGACACTAGAGGGTGCTAGTGTAACTAGTGTTGCCATATACAAGACATTAATAGTGGCGCGCAATACTTTCATTTACTCGACACTAGGGGGCGCTAGTGTAACTAGTGTTGCCATGTACAAGGCATTAATAGTGGCGCGCAACAGTATTATATTAATAAACAAAACAATGTGTCAGTGGTTTGCTCTTTAATGTTTTGTACATTTTTAACCTTTTTTTAATTTTTCTACTTTTATGCATATCTGTGGTTTAGTTTATTTATTTTTGAAATTATAAATATAAAATATTGCTAATAGTACAGAAAGAAACAATAACTTTTATATTTTCCGAACATATTAACTTCCCCGCTATGAAGTCTGTCAAATAATATACCTCACTTACTAGTGGCGCTGCCCTGGTGGCAAAAAAAGTCGTGGATGCCCTCATTCCTTTAATGCTCACGCTCTTCATATGAAAATCCATAATTTTGCAATAAAACAATGGAATAATCGAGATAAAACCGTTTTATATATTAAGATAAAAAGATAAAATATCGTAAAAAATTTTGCCCACCCTGCGTGTGAAACAACAAATGGAGAATGAAATAGACATAGGAAATAGACATGTATCAATCATGAATGATTCGTTTGTTTGAACTGGGAAACTTTAAAGGTATTAATGATTCATCTGTAGACAAGTTAGTAATTTGTATGTGACTGAGATAATCATGAAAGTTACTGACAAATTACAACTTTACTAAACTATTTTGTCTTTCGTGGCACATGTTTATGAGATACGAAAACTGTCAATGAATTATTTACTTAATAAAATATCAAGATTTCAAATATAAACCCTAACACAAAGTTTACGTTGAAGTTCAGACCACTATGTAATCAATTTATGAACGGTAAAATAACGTATTTTTCGTATTTGTTTATGTTTGAACAAAAACTTTAATATAAACTGGTCGGTAAGCTATGAAATCGTGAATTGTTATGAATGGATTGAACAAACATGATAACTTTATTCAATATCATTATTTATTTTATTTATTTAATACTTTAATACTTTACTACAGTAATACTATCACGACTTTACATCAAAGAATTGCAGAATTACAGCAACAATTAAAAGAATCCCAGACAGAAATAATGAAACTCATGAAACAAACCCAGGCCTGGGACGGAGAGCTGCCCTCAACAAGATCTAAGGCCTTAACAACACCTAATTTTAATGATAAAATGTATTCCAAGGATACCGAAGAGCAAGCTTGTGATAACAGGATATTGATCTTTGGAACTCAACAATGTGTTGGTTTAGCCGCTGCATTGATACGGTCACGAGAGCGTACAACATACTTGATTACCTCGCAAACGAAACCGTATGCTCTAACTGCAGATGTTTTAAAAAATTGTCATAACTTAGAAGTAACATCAAATGAAAAAATTGTAATATGTATCGGTGAAAATGATTATGATATTAATATATTAACATCTCAATTACGTAGTTTGCTCAATAAATTTAGTAACAATTCTGTGATAGTTATTAACCCATTAAAAAATATGTATTTGAATGTTCATGAATTGAATAATGCGTTAAAAATTACTTGCAATGCTTATAAAAACTGTTATTTTGTAGAATGTATTAATAGCAATTTGTTTAAAATCTGTAAATCAATCAATTATATCATCGACTGTATTGACTACGATAATAAATATTTAAATATTAAGGAACTTCAAAAGATAATAATTCGCAATAAACCACAGACTCAGGAAGCAACTAAATTTAATATAAAACACCTGAAAGGCACAATCCCCTATTACTTCGCAAAAATGCAGTTACAAAGTGCTTCCATCAGTGGAACTAATGCCATAAAATCCACTTTCGATTCGAAAAAAGGTACCATACCCTATTACTTCCCCATAATAGATGGAAATCAGTTTTTTCGGGAACAAAAAGCAAAAGCCATCTCTTTCTCTCAAAATCATGCACCAAAACATTGCTAGTATTTTATCAAAACAAGAACTATTAGAATTAACACTCCATGAGTTACGTGAGGCCGAGAACGAACCCGATATACTATGTTTCTCTGAAACGTTTTTGCGAGATGGTTACGATAAATACTTACAAATAAAAGGTTACGAATTAGCAACTGCATTTTGTAGGGATAAACAAAGAGGCGGAACTTGTATTTTGGTACAACGTAATATAACATACAAAAAAATTAATAAATTACAATATTATGCAACACCAAATACATTTGAAGCTTGTGGAATTGAAATTCCTGTACACAGATTGATTATAATATGTATTTATAGAACTCCCTCGTCAAACCCTACTATTTTCTTAGATAAGCTGGACAAACTTTTATATGACTTACTTGGCAGTCATAAGCCAAACATTAAGCTAGTTGTAACTGGTGACTTTAATATTAATACTTCAAAACAGGGAAATATTACTAATTTTTTTCAGGATCTATGTCACAACTACAATCTAAGCATTCACATTACGGTACCGACCCGGAAAAACTCTTGTATAGACCATATTTTAAGCAACATCACAGACGCAACGGCTACCATTCTACCTCTATACCTGTCTGACCATGAAACAGCGCAACTACTGGAAATCCCCATAAAAAGAAAAATTTTAAAGACTACGGCATATTTTATTTACAAAAAAGACTATTGCGCTGAGAACATACGGAAATTTAGGGAATGTCTTATGAATATATCTTGGTCTGAGATATACTTACAGACTGATATAAATAGCGCGTTTAATACATTTCATGAATTTCTATGTTTAATTTATAATTTATGTTTTCCACTTATTAGAATAATGATAAATAATAATAATAATACTACAAACAATTGGATAAGTCAAGGTTTAAAAAGAAGTTGTAAAACTAAAAGATTACTCCGATATAGATACTACAGGAATAAATCAGAATTAAATAAGAAAAGTTACATCACATATTCAAAGATTTTGAAAAAATGTATTCAAAGATCGAAAAGAAATTCTACTATAAAATTCATACACAAAAGCAAAAATAAATGTAAAGCTACATGGTCTGTAATAAAAAATGCAATCTCAAATTCAAACTTCGACCATGGCGTTACGGATTTGAAAATAAATAATGAAGTAATTAAAAATCCTACTGACATAGCTTCGATTTTCAATAACTATTTTACTGATTTCCCTAATAATTTGACAATAATGAATAAACCAAACAGCTATACTAGTAATGAAAAATCACTATCTAACTCAATGTTTGTTAAGCCCATGACAGAAGAAGAGGTTAAAAAAGAAATCCTATCTCTTAATAACACTAACTCGGAAGCATATGACGGTATTAATACGAAAATAATTAAGAAGTCTGTAAATGAATTAGTCACTATTTTGACATATTTAATTAACTTGTCATTTTCATGTGGTACTTTTCCAGAAACATTAAAATTGTCGATTGTAAAGCCATTATTTAAAAAGGGTAAGAGAAATGATATTACCAATTATCGTCCAATTACATTAATACCAATATTGTCAAAAATACTAGAAAAATGTATGTACAAAAGATTACTAGATTTTTGCAAGAAATTCAATTTAATAAGGAATGAACAATATGGCTTTCAGAAACAAAAATCTACAACATTAGCCACATTTAAGCTCATTAGTTCAATTTTAACAAAAATAAATAACAATTTTTTAACGACAGCATTGTTTCTTGATTTATCAAAAGCTTTCGATCTCGTTGCACACAGCATACTATTACGAAAACTGGAAATGGTCGGTGTCAGAGGACTTCCACTAAAATGGATATCTTCCTATTTAGCTAACCGTAGACAATGTGTTGTAATAAAAAAGATTGTAGGATAGGAAATGCTGTCCTTCTCATCTTCTTATAAAGAGAACAAACATGGCATTCCTCAAGGTAGCGTGCTGGGTCCAATGTTGTTTCTTCTTTATTTGAATGATATAACTCTAATCACCAGTCATAAATGTATTTTATTCGCGGACGATATTTCAATAATTGTAAGCACTGATAAGAAGCAAAATAGTTCAATACGTATTCATGAAATCGACATTAACAACACAATTGATACAATTATTAAATGGTTAGACAGAAACAATTTAAAAATTAATCTTAATAAATCAACTTATATTCAATTTAATAAATCAAAACACACAAAATACAATTTTAATCTTAATATCGACAAATTAAACGAAGTAACACAAACTAAATTCCTAGGAGTAATAATCGATCAAGATTTAAGCTGGAAAGGACACATACATCACCTATGCAGTAGAATTAACCAATTTGTTTATGCACTTAATAAAATAAAAAATGTTACAGACAAAAAAACTGCTGTTATAACGTATCACGCTTACATAGAATCTTTACTACGTTATGGTGTTGTAATATGGGGCAATGGTACAGATAAACAGAGATTATTTACTGCACAAAAGAAATGCATTAGAGCTATTGCTGGAATCGCACCGGATAAATCCTGCAAACCAATATTTAGGAGCCTGGGTTTGTTGCCACTACCATCTCTGTATATCTACGAAGTTTGTAATTTCGTACATAAATACAATAATCTGTTTACAAAGGCATATGATATGAATATAAGACTAAAAAGAAATGCAAATAGACTTGTATTCAGGGACTTAAAACGTTACAAATAACAGAATGTATAACGTTATAATAACGTTATAATGGTATCGTTACCTCAGCAAGCATAGCGTTTTCAATATTTAGTATAACGTTTTAAGAGTAACAGAACAAAATTGTGACAGGCAATTTAACGTTATTATAACGATAAAGACGCGACGTTGCCAAACCTATTCATTTTCAAAAGCGCGCGAATCTGCGCGACTTACGAGATGGGTGGGGCCTGGGATCCAATTGGTCTACTAGATAGCTTGGACGGACGAGGAATTCCTCGCACCGCACGCACTCCAGAAGCGAACTGGCAACGTTGTAAAGTGAATGAACATTTGATGATATCAACCGCTTGCGAATTGAGATTTGCGACGTATTAATAATTATACCTAGATATCATATTACTTATATTTATTTATTTTTTAAAGTTGATTCGTACTACACTTGTTTACAAATATTGAAAATGAATCGTAAAAAATTTAATCTTGATGAAAATAGTAAGACTTCAAAATGTTTAGTTGCTGGATGCGAAAAAGTTTTGAAGTTAATTTAAGCAAAAATCGAAGATAACGTGTAGAAGATTGCGCCTTTTCTGTCAGTTTTTATTAAGAAAAATATTGTATTTATATATGTACAGGGTCTCCTAGAAAACAGGACACCAACCTACTTTATCTTCTGTTAGAGCGTGGTCCTTCCCCGGTCGAGCCGACCCATTCGTACTACAACTATAGTACTAATATAGCTGCAGCCTGCAGCATAGCTTTACCACATCATACCTTGTCATATTTACCTGTTAGATAGGTACCTATTCATATCTTAATGCATTATACTTTTTTAGATTTACGCAAATATTTGACATTTTAAATAAAACTATCAATATTATTTTAGCCAATATCATAAACACTAGTGAACCGATTTTGATGAAATCGATATTATTCCCTAAGTTGAAATAAATGTAAGCAAATAATCCCTAAGTTGAAATAAATAAAAAACGAATGATCACGATCCGACTAGTTTCGGAGAAATGAGAATTAATGAATGCACGTATAAAATTTTGTATATTTGCTTGGAAGCTATAATAAATAATATGTGAATATTTTGGAGTTCCAATAATATTACATACATACATGTCGAATTGATAACCTCCTTTTTTGAAGTCGGTTAAAAATTCAAACCGACTTTGCGCTTAACAGAACATATCTTGAAAACTACTGAAGCGATTTTTATGAAAATTCTACTGTTCTTTAAGTTGAAAGATGCTTAATGTAATAAAAAGTGTGTGTGTACTTCTATACGCACGTAGGAATTTACACTTTTTTAGCGTAACAAACCAAAAATAACTAAAAATTTGTAGGATCCTGGTGACGATTAATTGACGACTCCGTGGCGCAGTGGCTTAATAATGAGTTGCAGCGCTAAAGGCCGCGGGTTCGATTCCCGAACGGAATAAGTATTTGTATGGCCTACAAATAATTGGACATAGTTACGCAAAAAGGATCCAATGTAATTTGTGTCAAAAATGAAAAATAATGTTTGTGGTGTATACTATTACGTGATGCAACAATTTTAGCAAAAGTAATACAAATAAAAAAAATGTCCTACATCATATCCATACTTATTTAAGTATAACAGCTATGTGTATGTGTAATATGTATAATAGTTATAGGTGTGGCGGCTGCGTCCGCCACGTTAGAAAAAGTCGCAAATATATCTCCGTTAATACGACGTGTCTTCATTTATTGCAACCTTAATTGTACACCTTAGTGAATTTAGCAAGGAATAAATGTATTAATTAATTAAACCAATACAGTATTCATAAGACTGTACAAGAAGAAAAATTACAAACACACACACAAACCATACAGATCCATTCTTCAAATTTCATAACTTCAAATTAGCTTTCTTTAGGGATGGATACTTTTTGCATCACCACGTCCAATTGTTCTAGGTCTGTTTCTAGGTAATGTTTATCCTTGTGAAATCTATGTATGTAAACGTCCCCTGCGATACAGGAGAAAATCTAATTATAAAAGTAAATTTTGTAGAGATAACGTTTTTAAAAACACACACATATATATATATAATTTTTTGTATTTATTAAGATTTTTAAACCTTATTATTCTTACTTTTTACTCTTAATATTGATTCACAAAATATCACGTATACATCAATCACGTCTTTTGATGGGTAAATTTAACCTCTTTTATCTTTATAAAAATATAAATAAATATATTAACGATTTTACATCATTATGCTGAGAAGTCATACTGCGATACAATCTCCACGCTTAAGTTTGTTTAGCAAAACTCTTCCTCTCTATCCACATACTATATTGCAAAACAATGTTCTTTTCTTATGTGCATGGAAAAAAATCACATAATACTAATATACTTTGAAGTGGCAGAGATTATATAATATATATGTTGAATTCCTTTAGATCGAGAGCCGTGGTAGCTCAGATGGTTAGCGCTCGCTGTAAGCTTTACAGTACTAGAGCAACCCGGGTTCGATCCCCGCCGGCACCAATGAAATTGTTGATTGCAATTTTAAGTGCTGATTTACCACGTGCTCGGCGGTGAAGAAAAACATCGTGATTCCTCACCTCACCTGCATGTCTGAGAAATAAGAAAAAAAATATTTCGAAGATATGTAAAGTTCGCCAACACGCATTTGGGGCAGCGCGGCGGACATTTCCTTGCCCTAAGACCCTCTCCTGTCTGTCTCCTGAGGCCTGTGCCCAGCAGTGGGACGTAAATAGGCTGCACCTTTACTTTACTTGACTTTCCTTTAGATCTATCGTATACTTTCTTTTGAGAATGTACATTTTCTAACTCTTTGTCTGTTACTCTTCTTTTTAATTTAGATATTTTTAACATTATCGTCTTTCTTGGTGTCACTTCAATACTACTGATTGGAGTAGTATAAGCAGATAAGCTAAGTAGAGGTTCAACTCTGTATTGATATGTGGATGATCTATTTGGAAGATCAACCTGGAATTCAAACAAATTAAATGGACAAGGCAGACTTATTGGAACGAAATTCCTTATCGAACGGTACGAATTTGGCGGATGGGGGCTAGGCGAAAAAAAATGTAAGAATTTTCCATCACGACCCTTTCTGACGTATAAAAAAGCGAGATAGAATAATATCCATCTCCCTCGCACTTTTTCTAATCTTGCCATGAAAGAAATATTATTTTATTTTAAATGACGCTTAATTTTAATAGACGCTAGTAATTCATTGTATTTGTTAATCAATAATATAATACGTTTATCAATAATAATAATATAATATACTACGAAATGTACTTTGTTCCAACCGAGTGTTCCACGACACTGCCGCATGTTTTCTTTACATTACTAATGAAATTCAAGGGCAATCTGACATATAATCTAGTTTAACAATAATATATAGAAGAATATTTCAACTTCTATACAATTATTTTATCTACACAATCCTTAACGTATGTAGTAAGATATTAAGAACATCATATAATGTTATGAATGTAATACAAAGTTTATGAGCTATTTATTTTGAAACACCCATATTCCGAGTTGTATGTACTACTACAGTTGATAATTCAATTGCAGCGCTGGCGACCACAAAACGTATTTTTTAGCTTATAACTTTAGAGCACTGCGTTCGATAGATCATACGAGTAAAAGAGATGGCATAGAACAATAAATAATAACATTATGATTTTGTGATAACAATATTTTAGAAACGTTTATTTGACAAATTTATTGTATCGTAATTATAACGTTATATACATGCAAACCTTTGCATAATATCGTTTTGACATATCGTTTCTCTTAAACATAACGTTATCTCGCACTTGCGCAGATAACGTTACTGTATTTTAACGGTATTTAAGTCCCTGCTTGTATTAGATGATGTACCGCGATCAAACAAATATAGTAAAAGCTGTTTAACCATGTGTATTCGAATTTATAATAAAATACCAAATGAAATCAAATCAAATAATAATAATTTATTTAAAAAAAAATTATTGACTTATCTCAATGAAAATCAATTTTATGACATCAGAGACCTATTTGTTAAATGTAAATGATATATATTTTTTTAATGAATTGATAATCTTTGTTTGTTTATGATTTTATATGTTTTAGTCTAATTGTTTTGTATTATGATTAGAAAATTTCATTTGTATATGTGTAATTTATGTAAATTTGCATGCTATCACAATCACATA